CCCACTCTTGCCAGCAGCTCTTCCCGCCCCCGTGGAGGTGGAGGAAGAGGGGGCGGGGGCCCAAGGCAGGTCCCCTCCCTCCAGCTCGACCTGGGACAGTTTCCTTTCCGCTGCCAAGGAGGTGTCGGCTGTTGACTCTGACAGGAGGTGCGGCCTGGCACTTGGGCATGCGAGGCTCTCGGGTGCCCTGGCTGCTCGCCTGGGGAGTGCTACAACTGGGCTGGAGGCCAGGATGGCTCTTAGGTAGGTGGGCGCGTGGCGTGGCCAGGCTGGGGCAAGTCAGGGCCCTCATTCTTGTCAGTGGGGACCTGTCCCCACCACCCCAGACCATCCTGGGTGGCTATGGCAGCCAGGTATCCTCTCTGATTCCAATTGGGCCCCTCCTTGCTCTCAGGCAGGCAGGAGCTCTGTCCCTCTGAGCTAGTCCTGGGTGTCTGGCAGCCCTCTCTGAGATCAGAACCCCAGCTTCACTGTTCATGGGCCTCGTCATCCCGTTTACGCTGATTTCCTAGAATGGGGGCAGCCTCTTGGCAGGACTGGCAGCTGCTGTTAGCTGTGACAAGGGTAACCCAGGGTATGGACTCCAGGGGGCCAAGCACAATTCTGGGGGTCCATAGCAGGCTCTGGGGACAGCAAGGCCTCAATTCAGGAGACCTAGCCTCTAAGCTCCTTATAAGATCATCCACCTGGAAGAGAAGAGACCCTCCCTGTCTGTGTCCCCTCATACTTCTGCCCTGGACCACTAGCCTGGCCTGGGAACTCAGCTAAGGGCCCAGGTTCTCTCTGAGCCTGGCAGGACATGTAGAGGGTGGCAGCTACTGCAAGGACCTAGACAAAGTGACACCTATCCATCCAAGTGTCCTCATGTCCCAAGGCCCCAGCCCTCACTGTTGCTGACCCCTTTCATGACTCAGCCCTTTCATGCTCTGCATAACCCTCATGCCTCCTCACTGGAACCTTCTTGTCCCCTCCATGCTAGTACTTTGAGGAAAGCCTGGGTCACTCTCAGGGCCCTGTGGAGGACACAGACTAGAGTCAGTGGTCCCAAGGCCCATGGGGGTTCTTGTTGGGAGGGTAGTCCAGAAGGCAGATGTCTGGGCTCCCCCAGCTCCTGCTTTGTGGGTGGGGTTCACATGGTAGTGGGGCCCTTGGCAAAGTGATTTCCTGCTCATCCTGTCCCCAACCCACCACCCTGGCTTCAGGGATCCTCTTGTCCCTGCAGTCTTCCTTCCTAATTTTCTAGTATATTCATCTTGGTCTCCCTGTAGGCAGCCCCCCTTTTGTGTGTATTTTGTAAGGTGCCCCAAACCCAGCACCTTGGAATGGTACGAAGTGAGACCTGGCGTGTGTCCAGAAGGAAGCTCCCTGGGTGGTTTTGGGCCTCTGGCCCTGTGGCACCTGGGCCTTGCATTGCAGCCGCTGGGTGGGATTCTGAGGCTGGAAGTCTGAGGTCAGGGTGTCCACCCTGTGCTGCAGGCCACCTTGGAGTTGTTGGCTGGCAGCAGCATCTCCCTGACCTCTACCCTCATATGTGTGTGTGTGTGTGTGTGTGTGTGTGTGTGTGTGTGTGTGTGTGTGTGCATGTCTGTGTGTGTTCATGAATGTGTATGTGGTCATGCATGTACCTGTGCTCCCCTCCCAAAAGAGAACCAGACCTCTTGGACAGGGACCCTCCCTGCTCCAGTGTGATATCCTCCTGAACAAGTCCATCACAGCCATGCTGATCTCAGGCCAGGGAGACCTGAGCTTCTGGAGTGCAGGTCCCCTACACCAGTCTGGGGACACAGTTCCACCCACACCCTCCATCACTGCACATGGGGCTATGGTTTGACCCCTTGTGTGCTGGCCTCTCCTAGCCAGAGCCATGAAGTCCCCTGGTGCCCTGCACCAGTCAGCAGCATCTCTCAAGTTGGTCCTCCCTGCTAGGCTGCTCCTCTACACTGGGTACGGGGTAATGAGTGAGAGACCTGCCCAGTCACCAGGGACCCCAAGAGACCACTTAGCAATGCTTTTAGCACCCCTAGATGGTTCTGCTAAAATTAGGTGTGGGGTGGCCACTGTGACACATGTCCTCTGTGATGTTGCCTCTGAGGTTGCCCCCCTTCTTGGCCTGGAACACAATGTTCTCTTGTCAGCCCCTTCCATGGCTCCCAGGGAAGGCTGCAGAGTGTCATGGAAACAGCCTAGACTTTGCTTTCCCCAGGAACCAGGCAGCAGTCACTTTTGAATGTTACTTTCCTGTGGACTCCTGACCTGCTGAGAAGCCAGGAGGCTTCCTGGAGTGGGTGGTTGGCTGTGTCTATTTCTGTTGCTGCAAATGGACATATCAGGTCTATTATATGAAGAGCAAAAGTTTGTTCCACTCGAATTCTAAAAGCTGGCAGTCCAAGGAAGGGCCTACTTCTGGACACTACTAGCACATGACTAGTGAACCCTGGAAAAGCGTTAAACCACAGCTTGGCCTCAGAGGGAGCTCTGGGCAAGTTAGGCAGGGCTGGGGTTGGACAGGCCAGGGTTAGCAGGAAGTGAGTGTCCTCTCAGGGACCCCAAGCTGGGCTCCCTGGGTACGAGTACTGTGTTCTAGCCCCACTCTCAGCCAACAGGCAAGGGGCTAGAGGATGACTAGATGCTCAATCTAAGAGGTCCCCAGGAGGTCCTTGGTACCAGGGTCCTGGTTTGAGGCCCACCAGGTGAAAGAGTGATTCAAACAGAAAAATGAGTGCAAAGGACTGGGCTGGGCCTGGACCCACAAGAGAAGTTCCCATGTAAGGAGGACAGTGAAGAGCCCAGGAGCAGATGAGGCCACCAAACTGTGACCATTAAGGCCTGGGAGGCAAGGGCCAGAACCATGGGAAGACAGGGTGAGGACCAGCCCCAGGGCCAAGTGAGCTGAACTAAGCGGTCAGCCAGAGCCTACCCAGAGGGCAGAGCCTGTTTAGGAGGGAAGGGGGCTCCCTGGGATGGGCTCCTGCCTGATCCCCAGGACCTCTCCTGTCATCTGATTCTGAGGGTGTGGGGATCTTTTTGGAGGCTCTGACAGTTAGGCCCGGGCCTGGCAGTAGACTTGGGGGTCAGAGTGGCACATCCAGACTAGGGGTCACTGGGACAGCTTGGGAGGGGACCCTGTTTTCTGGCCCAACAGGAGGGGACCACAGATGTTGCCACACTGGTACAGCCTTCAATGGACCTCTGCTGGAGGGGTTGTGTCAGGCCCAGAGCCAAGGTAGTCACAGAACAGATCCAGAGGCACCGAGTATGCTGTAGCCCAGGGTGTGGACTCCAGGGAGTCCAGGCATGGCTCTGAGAGTCCACAGTGGATTCTGGGGGTGGTGGAATCCTGGTTCAGGAGCCCTGGCCTCTGAGCCCCTTATAGGACCATCCTCCATGAGGAGAAGGGATGCCACTGCCTGTGCCCCACATCCTTCCACCCCTGGGCTACCAGCCTGGCCTGGGAACTCAGCCTGGGGTCCAGGTTCCCTCTACACCTTACAGGGCATGAGATGGGGGTGGCAGCCATTGCAAGGACCCAAACAGGGTGATACCAATCCATCCAGGCATCCTTGTATCCCAAGGCCCCAGTGTGTACTATGGCTGGCCACTATGACTTGGATTTTTTTTTTTTTTTTGGCTTTTTTGAGACAGGGTCTTGTTTTGTAGTATAGGCTGGCCTTAAACTCACTAGGTAGACCAGGCTGACCCAAAACTCCTCATTTGTCTCTACCTTCCAAGTGCTGGGATTATAGGTTGTGCCACCATACCTGGCTAGATTTGGCCCCTTCATGACCTGCTAGGAGTAGAACTTGAGGCCTCAAACATGTTAGGCAAGCACTTTACAACAGACCTTGAACTTGAGATTCCCTTGCCTCAGCCTCATGAGTAGCTGGGATTGTAGGCATGTATCACTAGCCTGGGCTACTAGAGGTTTTCATTAAAAAAGCTTCTAGGGTCAGGAATTTACCTCAGTGGTGCCGCTGCCTGCCTCACAAGGGCAAGGTCCTGAGTTTGATTCCCAGTACAAAAAAATAAAATAAAATAAAAACTTCTATATTTCTTGAATGACTATGTGAAAAAGATGCCTACTGGCACTGTCTAGGGAAATTCCCAGTGTGACGTGCTGGACAGTATGTCGTGACCTACTAGCTGTGTGTGGTTGGACAGTCAAAGTGGAGGAAAGGCCTGCTGTGGCCTGTGGTGTCTGTGTTGCCTTTAAGGCAGGAGGGACTTACTAGAGGAGACAACCCCTGTACGGGCTCTCTGGTCCCTGTCTGTCCATAGCAGGCAGGTTGGGCAGGAGGGAGGGGGACTAAGCTGGGTGAGTGAGGCATCTCTTTCTTTCTTTCTTTCTTTCTTTCTTTCTTTCTTATTTTTTGTACCTGGTATCAAATTCAGGACCTTGTGCTTGCAATGCAGGTGGCAGAACCACTGAGCTGAATCCCTAGCCCTGTGGCATCTCTTCTGTAGCACACCTGCCACCTGGCGTCCCCCATACCCTGCCCCACCATGGACAGATCCTTCCAAATAGCCACTTCCCTCTTGAACAGGGTCGCTGGTCTCAAACATCCATGTCCCATTGTGAGACCAGTTCTCGAGCTGCCCCCAGAGGTCCCACTGTCCCTGGAAGAGGACCCGTAGACATGGCAACCACAGCCTGGCTCCCATCCCTGTGTGGGAAGCCAAGCTTAACCAATACTGTCAGCCAGGTTGGAGCTGAGCCAAATAGCAAGGGAAGAGAGGAGGGAGGTGTAGAGTGGACATAGGGGGAAGACACAGAAAGGGACACAAATGACAGCCATGCACTGCATCCTAGGATGGATGCTGCTAATGTGCAGGAGGATTGCTGCTCTATGGCCACCCAGTGGGGTTGGGAACAGCTTCAGTTTTCCATGTGACATGGGAGACCTCAGGTGCAGCTGCTGGAGTGCTAATCCCATGGAGACATTCACTGTGGGGTAAAGCCACGTGCAGCAGGTCTCAAGGTCACCTGCTCTAGACCCTGGGCCCTGACATCCAGTGTGCAAAGGGTCCGCCACTAGGGGTTCTGAGCATGGAGATTGTGTAGAAGTGCAGGATATCTGTAAGCACTCATGTATCAGGGAGCTGGGCCTGAGCTGAGCTGGGGAGCACAGTGCCCAGCAGAGCCCTGGTTGCCATGGCCCTGAAAGGCAGGGGCGTGAGTTCTGTTCTGTCCCCTGTGGAGCAGTGGCCTGGCTGGCCTCTGTGCTCCCTGCTGTGCCCTCCAGTCCTAGGTCCTTCTGGACGACACAGGCCCTATGCTTCCCTCAGGACCACACTGTCCATGTGAGTCTCCCCGATCCTGCTGAGGATCCCACTACCCCACCTACCTGGCCTGCTTCCTGATGATCATTCCCCACAAGGGCAGACAGCATCCGGTCAGGCTACACGAGGATCACACAAGGACTTGTGCCTGCCTGGGAGGTGTACAGCCTGCCTGGGAGCAGCAATCTGGGGTCAACCGGGAAGGGGGCTGAGATCCTCAGGGCAACATTGGCCCTGGGTAAGGGCTGGAACAGTCAACAAAGTCAAAGAAAGGAGTTTCCATGGGGTGAGCACCCCACCCTGGCAGCAGGTGCAGGGACTGCCTGGCTGCTGGCCCCTTCCTCATAGCCACTCTCTTGCTGTCCTTCTCAGAGCCCCCCAACAGGTCCTGCAGCCCTTCCTTCTCCCCGGCACAGCTCTCAGTGCCCGAGGGTGCCAATGCCACCTTCACCTGCAGTTTCTCCAACTCATCAGAGCACTTCGTGCTGAACTGGTACCGGCTGAGCCCCAGTAACCAGACCGACAAGCTGGCCGCCTTCCCCAGGGAGAGCAACCTGGACCCACGCTTCCAAGTGGCCCAGTTGCCAGATGGGCACAGCTTCCAGATGAGTGTCCACTCCGTGCAGCGCAATGACAGCGGCATCTACCTGTGTGGGGCCATCTCACTGCAGCCCATGGCGGAGATCAGAGAGAGCTGCCGGGCAGAGCTCACAGTGACAGGTGGGGCAGGGCCTCTTACCTGGGAAGCCCTCAGCCCAGCTGATGGAGGGAGGGGAGGGTAGGAGAGGACAACGTGGGCACCTCTGTGCCTGCTGTGCCTGGCCCTCTTCCCAACTACAGGACAGGGGCCAGTCACTACAGGCCCAACAGGTACAGCCCTTGGCCCTTGGAGAAGACAAGGTGAGTGCCCCTGAGTGTGGAGACATACTGCAGAGTCCCTTACCACAATCCCTGACTCCTGTCTTTGGGGTCCCCAGAGAGAATCCTGGAGTCACCCACAGCGCACCCCAGCCCCTCGCCTAGGCCAGTGGGAGACCTTCAAGGCCTGGTTGTTGGGGTCATGAGTGTCCTAGTGGGCGTGCCTGTACTGTTGCTGCTGGCCTGGGTTCTGGCTGCTGTATGCTCCAGGGCCGTGCCAGGTAAGTTTGTTAAAGATATGCCACTTCCCCTAGGCCTCAGACCCCAGGTCACGTCATCTGCTTCTTGCCCAACACCCGATATTTCCTCTTATAAAGCCACATAGCTGACCATGTGCGCCTGTGTTACTGCACCTCATACACACACCCTGACTACCGTGAGGTCCTTTGTCACCACACATTGCACACAAATACTTGACCACCATGAAGTTTTGTGTCACCAAACCCCATATATTCTCCTACCCTCATCAAGGCCTGTTTCACCACACCCCATACACATTCTCTGACCCCATGAGAAACTGTGTCACCACACACACCCAGACCACCATGGTGGGCTCTGTCACTACACACACACACACACACACACACACACACACACACAGGTTGCCTCATATCACATGCATAGTACCTAGAGCACAGGGGTGTGTCCCTGCAGCAGGCACAGGAGTGGCAATCTTGGTCCAACTGAGGTTCCCATTGCTCTCTGAGAATCTTGTGATCTGAAGAAGACATGGCACCCCTCCCCAAGAACCACCCCCTCCAGACCTGAAAACCCCAGACCCAGATAATGGAACCCCGGCTGCCCTACCCAGATGGGGACCCCAGCTAAGACCCTCTCCTGGGAGAAGGGCTGGTGTCTACCACTTGATTCCAAATGTGCTTCTCTGCAGAGGCCGAAGGAGCTAGGAGCAAGGAGCAGCCCCTGGTGAGTCCAGCCCCTCCCAACGCATGCACCCTCATTCTCACAGCTCCCACCCAGCCCTGCAGGGGACTCCAGAGCAGAGTGTTGGTTACCCCCCACCAACGTGGCCCCAAGGCCTGTAGCCTGAGTACCATGAGGTCACTCATCCTGTGCCACGCAGCAGAAAACTAAAAAACACACATTCTGGAATCCTAAATCTGCAAAACTGCAGGACAGTTTAGTGGGGGACACTGAGCCAGAGAGGAGGGGCTGTGTCCCTGGTCACAGGGGCAGCAAGGGGACAGCCATCATGCCCAGGGTTCAGCAGCTGCTCCTAGAAAGGGGAAAAGGGACAGGATGTTGGGACCAGGGGGACTGGCCACATCTGGGGCTCTGCACCAACATCCCTCTCTCCCTAAAGAAGGAAGATCCCTCGGAAGTGCCCATCTTCACAATGGACTATGGGGTTCTGGACTTCCAGGGCCGAGAGAAGACCCCAGAATCCCCTGCTTCCTGTGTGCACACAGAGTATGCCACCATTGTCTTCCCTGAAGGGCTAGGTGCCTCATCTCCAGGCCGCAGGGGCTCTGCCAATGACCTCCAGGCCCTCCAGCCTCCAAAGCAGCAGGACGGACACTGCTCCTGGCCCCTCTGACTGGCTTCCTCAGAACCCCATGTCCCACAGGCCCTCCACAGAGAGCCCAGGGCAGGGCAGTCAGGTGTAGGGCATGCAGGATGCTGAGCAGTGACAGCTTTGCTCCTGTGCCAGTGCCACCCAGGACACACCTCTCAGTGCTCACCACCAGCTGGAGCAACCACATCCCTCTCCCTGGCATGGAGGGTGGGTACAGTCGTGGGTGTTATCCTGGTTGGAACAGAGCTGGCTGGACTTGAGCTTCTAAGTGCCATGGTTGTGCTTGGCCCAGGGTTTGAGCACTATCCCTGTGGGCTCCAGGAACTCTGGCTTGGGGGTGCCCACAGGTGACCTTGTTGGGGCAAGATCACATGGGAATTGCCCAGGGATCCTCATGCCCACCCAGGCCTGAAGAAGTTTCCACAAAAGAAGGAAGAACCTCTGGCTGCAGTGGGCATCTCCTCAGGCCTCTCTGCAGAGAGAACCCAAGGCATGTAAGGGAACAGGCAGCCTCTAACCTGCCTGACCCCAAGGACACATCTCAGCCAAGCCCTGCCCACCCACGCTAGGGTGCAGGACAGGGACCCACCCAGCCATGGGGAAGGGAGGTTCCAGACAGGGCTGGGGCAGCGCGGGCGTTGTCCCCCTTCAGTATTAAAGAAGCCTGGCCAGACTTCTGCCCAGGGTGAACAAAATTGTATAATGAGGGCCAGGAGCCCTTTCCCTTTGGTTCTGTGTAGTTATAATTAAACAATGATGAAAGCTTTTTGAATCCTGTCCTGTGCCTGCAGGCCATGCAGAGCTGATCTGAGGCTCAGGGAGGGATGTGTGGTGTCCCAAGGCAGGCATATTCCCCAGCGCTCCATCTCTGCATTCACATAGCCTCAGGTATGGGAAACCTCACTGCACTAGGGAGGTAACCTGCTGTAGTCCCTTTCCTCATTGCTGAGACAAAACACCCAACATGCATAGCTTAAAAGAAGAGAAGCTTATTTTGTCTCAGATTTTCTAGAAGTTTGAGCCCATGGTCAGTTGACTTCAAGACAGGAAGGTACAGTGGAAGGGCCTGGCAGAGGAAAGCTGCTGGGCCTAAGGATGAACTGGGAAATTAGCTAAGTCAGCTAGGAGCCCCATGATCCATCACCCAGCCCCTGCCGTCCTCAGTCAGTACAGGTGTCCACATGTGTCTCCAAGTATCCTCAAGCATATGCCTGTATACTTGCTGCTATGCCCCTACCTAGGAGTCAGGGTGGGCAGGGTGTGCCTAACATGAGCCATCACTACACAGTGGGTGGGCTGCTCCAAGCCATGGTGAGGGTCTGTGGCCTCTGCAGTCTTCCCTCAATGGGTACACATGCTCCAAATCCACCACCTCGCACCAGGGTCTTGACTGCCCACAACAGTGCCAGGCAGATACTCCTGCTACAACTGCCCCCCTCTGAGCACATCCTGGACAGGAAAAAAAGCCAAGGTAGGCACTCACCAAGGTGGCACAGGGGGAGCAAAGTCTGGGCTCTCAGATAGTATGGGCTCAGGAGGGCAACCCGAGGAAGCTAAGCAGAAACCCAGTGCCAAGAACCTGGTCAACCCAGGGTCCTGAAACAAAGGCTGCCCTGGGCTGAGTCAGTATACCCTGCCTCAGCAGCCCTGGGTGGGATGGAACTGCTGGAGAGACATCAGACAAAGGCACAACTGACCCAAAGGACAAATGGGGATTCACACTAATGTCTCTGTGCTTAAGACATTTCTTCCTGCTCACTATAGATTCAACATCATCCCAATAAACTCACATTTCTGGAACTATAACTTGTTTGTTTGCTGTACAGTACTGGGGATTGAATGAACCCAGGCCCTTCACAGAGCTACATCACCAATCCTTTTTTAATTTTTATTTTGAGACAGAATCTCACTAAGTTATCCAGGCTGAGCTCTAACTTCTGATCCTCCTGCCTCAGCTTCCCAGAGTGCTGGGATTAAAGCCTGGCTTGGAACTGCAGCATCTCTATATATGTGTGCGCATGTTGCATAATATCAGTGTGCATACATGTGTGCATGTGTGTTGCATAACTACCTTGCATGTGCATGTGTATACAATGTTGCCTATATACCTATGAGTTTGCACATATGTTTATGTGTGTGCACATATGAGTGCATGTTGCTCATATAGCTGTAAATACATGTGTACATGCCTGTTGCATACCTATCTGTGTGCACACAGGTTTATATGGAAATCCCTAAGTAGTGGAAGGACATCCAGTTTTACTCATAGTGTCACAGGGAAATGACTCTCCGAGCAACTGAAAAATGGATATGAGAACAAACGAGGCTAAGAGTAGGAGAGGTTTATGAGAGAAAGCTTCTGAGGGACAGGAGAGGTCCTGAAAGTGAGCTGTCACTGAGACTTTGTCCAGGGATAATTTACACACAAAATCACAACCTGACTAACTATAAGTCAAATACAACCAACTTATAGGATTATAAGAATAGTGGTTTCGCTGATATTGGTTCAGTACGGAAACAAAGCACATAGCAAGGGTATATAGTGGGCGTGACTAACTTCAGTTTATCTATAACTTCTAGTGGAGTAAGAACAATGGCATTCCAGAGAAAGGATGGGAATATGGGTCAGAGTGTTCTAGTCGTGCACCTTTGGACACTTTATCTGGGATCCTTGGACCAGTTCGATCACAAGCTTCTGTCTTCCAGGGAGGCTTGTAGGACTGGCTCTCTTCCAATTTGTTTCTAGCCACAATTTGGATGTAACTCATCTCCTGCACTGACTCCACTGAGGGCCTGGTCCCTCTCACTGCCTGTTAATTTCTATATAACTTAGCTGTTTATGAAAACAGTAAGGAAAATAGAAACAAAAACTGCTCCTAGCAGACTGGCAGAAGTCTGGAAGGGACAAGAGCTATTGTCAATGTTGTAGGGGACAGCCAGCCACAAGCTGAAGCCACATCTGTCTCATAGAAACACATCCCTGGTAGCACTGTGAAGTGAAAGGGCTCACAGAGATTCACTGCACTGGGTTTGCCAGAGCAGAGTCACTCATGCACAGCTGGCCCAAGTCCCCATCAGCTGGGAACCCTGTATTGTGGAGCACCTGGCCTGATAGTGGAACCAGGCCACTCTGGACCTGGGCAGGGAGATGTGGCAGGGGCAGCTCAGCATCCCCAGGACAGGGACACAAGTGGGGTCATGTCAAAAAGCCAAGGGTATCTGAACATCAAAAAATGCCAAAATTGTTGGGCAGGCATAGTAGTACATGGCTACAATCGCAGCTCTCTGGGAGCCTGAGACAGGAGATGGAAAATCTGAGCCTAGCCTGGGCAACTTAGTGATTTATCTCAAAGTGTAATTAAAAAAAAAAAAAAAACAGGTTGTGAATGTAGTTCAGTGCAAAGGCTCTGAGTTAAATCCCCAGAACTACACACACACACACAAAAAAAAAAAAATTAATTGCTTAATACACTTTGTGTTTAAAAGAACATGAGTTCAAATCGATACTCAACAGAAAAGGCAAGGCGGGAGGGGAGGAAGTGGTCTCGGAGCCACCCACCACTCACTCGTGTTGCTGGCGGGCCAGGCCACCAGCTGGTGGCAGTGGCTCAGATAAGAACTGAGAAAGTGGCGCGGGCCAGTCAGCACTTTGCATCAGCCTTCCCGTAAAGCAGCCGCCGCCTCACACTCATTTTTTCCATTCCCTCACTCTGCCCGGGCGCTTGTTCATGCATGGCCCTGGTGGGGACCTGCTTCCACATCTTCCCACGCTGCTCCCCCACTACCCTGGGTGCCTCGCTCCAGCAGGGACTGTGGTTGCAGTAGGGCCTGGTGTGGCCACAACTCCGACCTGTGGGTTTGAGGGGAGCCAAGCCTCCTAATGGAAAGCAGCCTCACCCCAGGGTTCCAGGGCCTCTGCGGGGGTGGGGGGGGGCTCTGCCAAGTGTAGGGATCCCTCTGTCCCCTGCCCTGTTTCTGCAGAGGGTCGGGTGTGGAGTGTCCTCCAAGGGGTAATAGAGGCTGCTCAGCCATGGCTCCTGCCCCATCATTGTCTGGTTCTCTTGCAGATGGCCCTGAGCTTTTCCTTATGTCCTCTGGCCCCAATCCAACTGCCTACTCATGGCTGGGGTGGGGGGGTCCTTAGGCAAAGTGGCCCAAAGTGTTGGCTGCAGGGAGCTGCACAAGTGTGAAACCACCCCACCCTCCATGTGGTCATACGTCTGTGATTACTTCTGATTCTTGGGTTCTTATTTCAATTTAAGTCCAAAAATAAACTATCATGTGCATGGAATATTGTTCAGCCATGGGAAGGAATGAAGTTGTGCTCCTGCATTCATAGCTTTACTCACAACAGCCCCAGCATCTGTCAGTGGGTGAGGAGACAAACACATGCAGTCCACGCACATGAGCAAAGGAACATGGATCAGCCCTGAAAAGGGAGGATTCTGCTACAGCATGGATGGCCCCTGGGGACAGGATGTGGAGTGGACTAAGCCGGTCACAAAAAGACACTGTGATTGTCCCACACAAGACCCACAAAGCACTTCAGTCAAAATCAGATAGGAGCAGAATGGTGGTGCCTGGAGCTGGACAGTGGGTGGAGTGTTCGTATTTACCAGGAACAAAGTTTCAGGGTTACAAGATGAAGAGTCAAGTTGTAGGCCAGGTGGAGTCCACAAGGATGACCCTGGACTGGGTGCAAGGACAGGTGGCTTCCATGAGTGGATCCAATGGACCCCTTACTGTGGGTTCATCCACTTCACTCAGTCATCGGCTGAGTGACCACATGGGTTCCTGGGCACAGCCATGGGCTCGCATCAGGCGGTGTGGTACCAGAGCAACCTGCCCTCAGCCCAGGCCCCATGCTGGTCACCTGTCACGAGGCCATAGCCATTCAGATGGTCTCAAGATCATGCAAATATTGTCATCCACTTCCCCTTTTCTTACTTGTAGAGGTTTCACAGTTGTACTTTCAACTAATAGGCTTTATTTTATAAAGTAGTGTTGGGTTTGCTGAAAAGGACACAGACATCCTCATCCCTACCC